TACTAAATCACCAACTTGGTACTTGGGAGCCTTTTTTCCTTTTCTTATTATAAGTTTTCTTGTTCTTCACAAGTACTATGGGACTAGCATACTCGGATGAACTTGGTCTTACTATTCCTTGTTCGAGCCATTCTTCAATGTGTTTATTCACACTTTTCTTTTCCGCGTATGACAACCGACGTGCTGGTTGATAGACTGGGGTATCATCGTTCAGTATTATCCTCCTCGTCACATCTGTGGATTCAGCCTTCTCAGGTTTGTACGATGAAGTTATTCTGGTTAGATCATTTTTCACTTGTGAGTCAAATATGTGACTGAATTCTAACTTATCTTCAGGATGTACTCTGGATATTTGTATTAGACATGCCTTTTCCTCATGCTTATGGAACATAACACCCTCTTGGGTGAAATTCAAAGAAGCTTGTCCCAAAATGTCAGTACCTATAATGACTTCAAAAGTGAGTTGTTTGGTTGGCACAGCATGCCACGTTAAACAATATCGATCTTTGTCCAATACAAAATCATACTTGAAGGATCCCTTGGTTACTACTTCAGTTTGTCCTAAACCGTGCAACACAGTGTTTATTTTGGATAGTCTTGAATGGTCAACAATCTTCGTGCTTACATCTTCTCGGATTAGACTAACTGTACTATACCAGTATCTATAAGTGCCGATACAATTTCATTGCTTAACATAATGCTTTTTAAGTATAGTCCTTTCTGCGGTGTGACAGAACAGCTTTGTACTTGGGGATTGGGTTGTTCTCTTTTGATATCTTTCATTGCTTTAGGGCAATTAAAACTCAAATGATCTAAGGAATGACATTTGTAACATCTCCTAGGTGCTCTTCTATCAAAATCTCTACTCGGAGGAGTGTCTAAATATCTTCTTTCAGGATTGAAATTTCCTATTTTCCTTGTATTGTGATTATCAAATTTCCTGAAATTCTCCACTTGATTCGATCCTGTAGCTTCAGATCTTCGAATAGGTGTTAAAGTATGTGTTTTCTGTTTCAACGTCCTACGGACATCCTCAAATTCTTCAAGTCTCTCGGCTAATTCAACTGGGCAGTTGATACTTGGCCATTCTTCTAGATGACGTTCTTTGAATTCAACAGGGGCTCTTTTCTTCATCTGGTCAGCTATCATCAGATCCCATACTTTGTCAAATGTTTTTACGTCCAATCCTTCAATCCACCCATTAAAGAATGTTTGAACTTCTTGGTAGAAATCACGTCATGTTTCATCCGAACTTTTCTGATGTGTAACGAATAGCTGCCTGAACTTCTCTGGGGTCAATTTAAATCTTTTCAAAAGCAAAGACCTCACGTGGTCATAATCTCTCGCCTCTTGTTCAGGTTCTCTAGCGATCAACTGTGTGATTTCCTGTGGAAGTAGGCCTAACAGGTGTGAGACCCAAAACTCTTTCGCCACATTCATCCTACATGCTTGGCGTTCAAACAATATTAAATATAAGCTGATATCCTCTTTCATATCAAATTTAGGTAACAGTTTGTTCAATTCATTACTCGGTGTACGATTATTCCTACTCAATATTTCCTGATTTAATCCGATCTGAGCTTCGATTCTAAGTTTTTCTAACTCTAAATTATCCCGTCGTTTCCTTTCTTCTAATAATTCTCTCTCCTTTCTCTCTTCAACGATACCTTCGTACATCAATTTGGTGTCTTCCTCATCGTACCCTACACTTTTGGTTATTAAATTGTTTAACATTGGCTTAGTCATGTCGATTGTCGCCTCTAAACCTAACTCTGTAGCTAACTCTAACAAATCTTCCTTTTTCCCTTTTAACAAGAAAGATATGTTTTTTTCCCTTTTTAATTAAGGAGTTAAGAATTTATACAAGAATTATTGTACTGAAGAATAACAAGTATAGTACTAAATACTGTAAAAGGTATAGGATGCTAGCTCTGCTAAATTTTACCCACACTTCTACTAAATATATAAAAGTTATGAAAATAAAATTTTTCAATTAAAAATTTCCGAAACCAATGTAAAATTCAAATAATAATATATCATGCATCAAAATAATTTAAAACATATCAAGTAATAATTTAAATTGGGATATATAATTCAAAGTAAATAGTTATTAAATACAACTCCGAAAAGAAAGAAAATAATATGAAAGTATATAATGGCAAAATTAGGTGAATAATATTTTCATACAAATTACAGAGATAATAGAAATAACAAAAATCAATTTCGTTTCAAATATTTGGTCAGATTAAAAAAATATAGGTTCAAAAAGGCAAATCATCAAAATACTGATTGTCAAAAAATAAATAAATAACAGATAAGTAAACATAAATAAGTCTGACCTTGACGGAGCTAAGGGTTTGGCACAAAAGAGGGAAGGAGAAACTAACACTCCCTTCTTTTCCTGCGTCACAAAAGTCGGTTACTCCGTCCTTTTGAATATTTATTTGCTCCCGTGCAAAATGGCGGATACGAGGCCTTTACACAATCTTGAAGGTCTTTCACTTTCGAGCACACACAAATCTTTACAATTTCAAACGCGGGGACTGCACTTTTCGCTTGGCCAGGATGACATTCACTCAAGAAATTCTAATAGCATGGTGGAATTCACTCAAGAAATTCTAATAGCATAGCGGAATTCACTGTAGAAATTCTATTACCAGGGTGGCATTCACTGTAGAAATTCTATTACCAGGACGGCATGCACTGAAGAAACTATTTCACAAGGACGGCACTCACTGAAGAAAATCTATTACCAGGGCGGCATGCACTGAAGGAACTATTTCACCAGGACGGCACTCTCTGAAGTAATTCTAATACCAGGGCGGAATGCACTGAAGGAACTATTTCACCAGGAGGGCACTCACTAAAGGAATTCTAATATCAGGGTGGCATGCACTGAAGGAACTATTTCACCAGGACGGCACACACTGAAGAAATTCTAATACAAGGGCGGCATGCACTGAAGGAATTCTATTACCAGGGTGGCAATCAGAAGTAAAAACAAATGTTATTCGTGGCAGGACGGTGCATTACTTCGCGATGAAGAAGGTAATCCTTGGCAATCTGGAATGGATTCTTTTTTTTTTCTTTAAATTAAAAAAAATTATCCCGGCTGAATCCACATTAAATATGTAGGGGTGTTTCGGGTTAGTAATGTTCGGGATCTTGATATTCAAAGAAATAAGCAGATTAGAATGAAATTACTTTTAATGAAACATTAGATTATTTACAATTAAAATTTTACGAGTTATTTCACGGAGCATACTCTCAATTGTCGCTAAGCCTATTAGCCTCCACGTTGACCGAAAAACGCGGCTTCTCGCCTGTTAAACCGGAGTCTCTTCTTTCGCGTCTGTCTCGTTCCGCGTCGCAATCGTTTTCTCCCCTGCAACCCGTCATTCCGGGGGACTACATATATTCACTGGTAGGGCCGTCTATTGGTGAGGTTGTAACTTCACTGATCGGAGAATATATTTAATTCTCTAATACTTTAAATCCTACGCACGCACGCACGCACGCACATATATAGTCAAAATATCTTTATACATTATTTCAAAATCTGAACAGAGGGCATTCAAATGCTCAATGTAGGTTAAAATGTCATTTTCTTGGCAGTTTGTCTGAGACAAATTGGGAAACTGGAAAAACTCACGTTGTTCCAATATTTTGCTTCATTAGCTTAATTCTAGCAAGAAATGCTGAAATGATGTGGACTTTGTTTTAATTAAATTTAAGTTATCACCTTGTAACTGCAACTTAACATCATTAAATTTACTAAGCAAATCTGTTAAGTAGGCAATGTCTGTTTTCCTCTTAATTAAATATCCTCTTAAAATTGTATCTTTACAATCCAAAAGCTCTAGAACAATTTCAAATAGTGCAAAAAATCTTGTCAAACACAAGAAAATCACTGCAGGTATTCTGTCAATAGCTTTATAATCTTTCTTTTGCAAAATAGAACCCCCCATTGCTCCTAATCGATAGGATTCGAACCTACGCAGGAAGATCCTAATGGATTTCTAGTCCATCTCCATAACCACTCGGCCACTACTAATGCTTCTTGTCTATCATGTATAATCACGACACTGCTATAGGCGTTGCATGTTTAATCTGGCATGACGTATAAATTTTAAAAAATATTAAAAAAATTTTTTTAGTATAATCACAGCAGGTATTCTATCAATAGCTGTATAATAATTGTTTACGCATTTTAGTAAATTAGATCAATGCTCGTAGTCGGTAGGATTCGAAGCTGCGCGGGAAGAACCCAAAAGGATTTCTAGTCCATCGCCTAAACCACTCGGCCACGGCTACTGGTTCGTGCTATCATGTATAATCACGACACGGCTATAGTCATTGCATCCTTAATCTGGCATTACGTATAAATTTTAAAAAGAATTAAAAATTTTTTTTAATAAAATCACAGCAGGTATTCTATCAATAGCTGTATAATAATAGTTTTGCATTTTAGTAAAATAGCACCATTGCTCGCTGTCGGTAGGATTCGACCGTACACGGGAAGAACCCAATGGATTTCTAGTCAATCGCCTTAACCACTCGCCCTCGACTATTCCTATATGTCTATCATATCAGTTTACGACTCTGCTATCGTCGTTGTATTTTTAATCTGGCATAACGTGTAAAGTCTAAAAAGAAATTGAAAATTTTTTTTAATAAAATCACTGTAGTTATTCTATCAATAGCTGTATAATAATCCAGTTTCCATTTAGTAAAATAAAAGCAATGCTCGTAGTCGGTAGGATCCGAACCTACGCGGGAAGATCCCAATAGATTTCCAGTCCATCGCCTTAACCACTCGGCCACGACTACTGCTTCCTGCCTATCATGTATAATCACGACGGTGCTATAGTCGTTGCATGTTTAACATAGCACGATGTATAAATTTTAAAAATAATTAAAAAAATTTTTTTTAATAAAATCACAGCAGTTTTTCTATCAATAGCTGTATAATAGTAGTTTCTGCATTTTAGACCAATGCCCGTAGTCAGTAGGATTCGATGCGGCGCGGGAAGAACCCAATGGACTTCTAGTCCATTGCCTTAATCACTCGGCCACGACTACTGCTTCCTGCCTATCATGTACAATCACGACACTGCTATATTCGTTGCATGTTTAATCTGTCATAACGTGTAAAGTCTAAAAAGAAATTGAAAAATATTTTTTAAATAAAATCACAGTAGTTATTCTATCAATAGCTGTATAATAATCCTGTTTCCATTTAGTAAAAAAGAAGCTATGTTCGTAGTCGGCAGGATTCGAACCTACGCGGGAAGATCCAAATGGATTTCTAGTCCATTGCCTTAACCACTCGGCCACGACTTCTCCTATATGCATATCATATCAGTTTACGACTCTGCTATCATCGTCGCATTTTAAATCTGACATAATGTATAAAGTTTAAAAAGAAATTAAGAAATTTTTTTAATATAAAATCAGTGCAGGTATTCGATTAACAGCTGTATAATAATCTTTTTTGCACTTAACTAAAATAGAACCCCCCGTTGCTCTTAGTTCGTAGGATTGAAACCTACGCGGGAAGATCCCATTGGAGTTCTAGTTCATGGCCTAACCACTAGGCTACGACTTCTGATACCTGTCTACCATATCAGTTTACGATTCTGCTATCGTCGATGAATTGTTAATCTGGCATAGCGTGCAAAATCTAAAAAGAAATTGGAAATTTTTTTTTAATAAAATCACTGTAGTTATTCTATCAATGGCTGTATAATAATCGTTTTCGCATTTTTGTAAAATAGGATCAATGCTCGTAGTTGGTAGGATTCAAACCTACGCTCGAAGATCCCTATGGAATTTTAGTCCATCGCGTTATCCACTCGGCCTCGACTACTCCTGGAAGTCTATCATATCAGTTTGCGACTCTGCTATCGTCGTTGCATTTTTAATCTGGCCTAACGTGTAAAGTCTAAAAAGAAATTGAAATTTTTTAAAAATAAAATCACTGTAGTTAGTATATGAATAGCTGTATAATAATCCTGTTTCCATTTAGTAAAATAAAAGCAATGCTCGAAGTCGGTAGGATTCGAACTTATGCGGGGAGATCCCAATGGATTTCTAGTCCATTGCCTTAACCACTCGGCCACGGCTACTGATTCTTGCCTATCATGTATAATCACGACACTGCTATAGTCGTTGCATGTTTAATATGGCGCATGAAGTATAAATTTTAAACAGAATTAAAAAAAAATTTCTAATAAAATCACAGCAGGTATTCTATCAATAGCTGTATAATAATAGTTTTTGCATTTTAATAAAAAAGATAAATGCTCGTAGTCTGTAGGATTCGAACCTACGCGGGAAAAACCCAAAGTATACCTAGTCCATCGCCATAACCACTCGGCCACGACTATTCATATCTGTCTAACATATCAGTTTACGAATCTTCTATTTGTAGCATGTTTAATCGGTCATAACGTGTAACGTCTAAAAAGAAATTGAAAAACATTTTATTAATAAAATCTTTGCAGTAATTCTATGAATAGCTGTATTATAATCCTGATTCCATTTAGTATAAATGTATTCAATGCTCGTAGTCGATAGGATCCGAACCTACGCGGGAAGAACCCGTAGGATTTCTAGACCATCGCCTTAACCACTCGTCCACGGATACTGCTTTCTTCCTATCATGTATAATCACGACACCGCTATAGTCGTTGCATGTTTAATCTGGCATGACGTATAAATTTTAAAAAGAATTAAAAAAAATTTTTAATAAAATTACAGCAGGTATTCTATCAAGAGCTGTACAATAATAGTTTTTGCATTTTTGTAAAAAAGATAAATGCTCATGGTCGGTAGAATTCGAACCTACGTGGGAAGAGCCCAATGGATTTCTAGTTCATCGCCTTAACTTCTCGGCCACGACTACTTCTTCCAGCTTATGATGTATAATCACGACACTGCTATAGTCGTTGCATGTTTAATCTGGCATGACGTATAAATTTTAAAAAGAATTAAAAAATTTTTTTAAAAAAATCACAGAATGTATTCTATCAATAGCTGTATAAAAATCATTTTTACATTTTAGAAAAATAGATCAAAGCTCGTAGTCGGTAGGACGCGAACCTACGCGGGAAGAACCCTATGGATTTCTAGTCCATCGCCTTAACCACTCGGCCACGACTACTCCGATATATAAGTCATATCAGTTTTCGACTCTGCTGTCGTCGTTGCATTTTTAATCTGGCATAACGTGTAAAGTGTAAAAAGAAATTGAAAAATACACTGCTGGACAATTGCTAAGGACGGATAACACTATCATCCATAGCAACCACAAAATGAAAGGAAGCAAAATGTGAAAAAATAGAATAAGTGCGGGATATTAGTAAGAAGAAGTATGAGTATGCAAATTTTTTTCTCCACATCTGTTCATCACGTGATAGCGTTCATAAGAGCTTTAAAGGTTTTGACGCGAGTGGACAGTTGTTGTTTCAAGTCAAAGTTTTACAGGAAAGGTTTAATAGACGAACTTAAAATTTTTGGCATGTCTTCCCGACATCACATAGATGATTTTATGCGTGGCCGAATTATTGGAAAGATCGAAGAAGTTCGAAAAATAACAGATGTTGCCAGGGAGTTCGACATCGCTCAAAGCGTTGTTTCACGGCTGTGGAAGCCATTTAAAACTACTGGAATGTGTAGTAGATGGCACGGGGAGGTCGTGTTAGAAGTACGACGCCTGCAGAAGACAGATATATCGTCCTATCAGCAAAAAGGAACAGGAGCATCACAACTCAGCAGGTGGAAAATCAGTTTCTAGCTGCCTCAGGAAAGCAGATCTCCCGAAAACTGTTGCCAGACGTTTGAGGGGAAGAGGACTATACGCACGCAGACCTGTTGCGTGTGTCCCATTGACCAGACAGCACCGTACTACCCGTTTGCAATGGTGTCATGATCCTTACAATTGGACTGAACAGGACTGGGCAGGCGTGCTATTCTCAGATGAGAAGAGGTTCAGTCTGTCATCGGATTGTAGACGCCAACTGATCTGGCGCGAGAGTGGTACTGCTTATCTTCCAGAAAATATCCAGAAAAAGGACCGATATCCATGCAATATCATGGTGTGAGCCAGCATCATGATCAATGACCGCACGCGCCTACATGTGGCTGCGAATGGGACTATGACGGGCCAACGATACATTGATGAAGTTCTACTTCCTCATGTTCGTCTTTTCCGTGGTGCTGTCGGTGATAAATTTGTTTTTATGGACGACAACGCAACATGTCATCGAACACTCGCTGTTCAGGATTGTATAGACAGCGAGGGTATTCAACGTCTCGTATGGCCAGCGCGTTGTCCAGATCTTAACCCCATTGAAAATGTGTGGGATGCTTCGGGAGGCAAGAAGCTGGTCGAAACTATCCTCCGACAAACAAGAACACCCTCATCCGTGCATTCACAGAAGAATGGGTAAATTGCCTCAACAGCTGCTGGATAATGTTTTGTAAAGTATGGTACGACGCGTGGAATGTTGCATCACACTCCACGGTGGACATATACCGTACTGATACCTTTCTTTAAGGCGCCTGCTGCCTTTTAGGTGCATTGTTCCATTTCTCCGTACGCAGATCAAAGGAACATTTTTTTTTTCTTTCAGATGTGTGTTTCACAGCTTTTGTACTTTCCAGAACAATAAATATTATTTATTCTAATGTCTGAACAGTGTGGCAACTATATTTTATCCTACTAGGCCTCATGTCTCGCTTAATGTTATGCTACATAGCAATTTGTGATCCGTCCTTAGCAACTGTCCAGCAGTGTATTTTTTTAATAAAATCACTGTGGTTATTCTATCAATAGCTGTATAATAATCCTGCTTCCATTTAGTAAAATAGAAGCAATGCTCGTAGTCGGTAGGATTCGAACGTACGCGGGAAAATCCCATTGAAGTTCTAGTTCATCGCCTAACCACTCGGCAACGACTTCTCATACCTGTCTACCATATCAGTTAACGATTCTGCTATCGTCGATGCCTTTTTAATCTGGCATAACATGTAAAGTCTAAAAAGAAATTGGAAATTTTTTTTTAATAAAATCACTGTAGTTATTCTATCAATGGCTGTATAATAATCGTTTTCGCATGTTTGTAAAATAGAACCATTGGTCGCAGTCGGTAGGATTCGACCTTACACGGGAAGAACCGAATGGAATTTTAGTCCATCGCCTTTACCACTCGGTTACGAGTACCGCTTCCGGCCTATCATGTATAATCTCGACACTGCTATAGTTGTTTCATGTTTAATCTGGCATGACGTATAAATTTTAAAAAGAAATTGAAAAACATTTTTTTAATAAAATCACTGCAGTTATTCTATGAATAGCTGTATAATAATCCTGCTTCCATTTAATTAAATAGAAACAATGCTCGTAGTCGGTAGGATTCGAACCTACGCGGGAAGAACCCAATGGATTTCTAGTCCCGCGCCTTAACCACTTGGCCACGACTCCTTCTACACGCATTTCATATCAGTTTACTAATCGACTGTAGTTGTTGAATTTTTAATCTGTCATAATGTAAAAAGTTTAAAAAGAAATTAAAAAAAATTTTTTTTATATAAAATCAGTGCAGGTATTCGATTAACAGCTGCATAATACTAATTTTTGCACTTAACTAAAATAGAACCCCCCGTTGCTCTTAATTCGTAGAATTAAATCCTACTTGGGAAGGTCCCATTGGAGTTCTAGTCCATCGCCTATAAATACTCGGCTACGACTACTCATACCTGGATACCATATCAGTTTACGATTCTGCTATCGTCGATGAAAATATTGCAGGTATTTTATCACTATCTGTATAATAATAATTTTTTGCACTTTTTTAAAATAGTACCATTGCTCGCAATCGGCAGGATACGACTCCACACGGGAAAAACCCAATGGATTTCTAGTCCATCGCCATAACTACTCGGACACGACTATTCCTATTTGTATATCATATTAGTTTACGACTCTGCTATCGTCCTTGCATTTTTAATCTGGCATAACGTGTAAAGTCTGAAAAGAATTTAAAAACTTTTCACTGTAGTTATTCTATCAATAGTAGTATAATAATCTTGTTTCCATTTAGTAAATTAGAAGCAATGCTCGTAGTCGTTAGAATTCGAAACTACGCGGAAAAGTCCCAATGGATTTCTAGTCCATCGCCGTAAACACTCGGCCACAACTACTGCTACCTGCCTATGATGTATAATCACGACAGTGCTATAGTCGTTGCAATTTTAATATGGCATGACCTATTGATTTAACAAGAATTAAAAAAAACTTTTTTTAATAAAATCATGGCAGGTATTCTATCAATAGCTGTATAATAATAGTTTTTACAATTTAGTAAAACAGATAAATGCTCGTAGTCGGTAGGATTCGAACCTACGCGGGAAGAACCCAATGGATTTCTAGTCCATCGCCTTAACCACTCGGCCACGACTACTGCTTGCTGCCTATCATGTATAATCACGACACTGCTATAGTCGTTGCATGTTTAATCTAGCATGACGTATGAATTTAAAAAAAGAATTAAAAAAAATTTTTTTAATAAAATTATAACAGGTATTTTATAAATAGCTGTATTATAATCATATTTGCATTTTAGTAAAACAGATCAATACTCGTAGTCGGTAGGATTCGAAACTACACAGGAAGAATTCAATGGAATGCTATTCCATCGCCTTATCTACTCGGTCTCGACTACTCCTATATGTATATCATATTAGTTTACGACTCTGCTATCGTCGTTGCATTTTTAATCTGGCATAACGTGTAAAGTCTAAAATAAATTTAAAAACTTTTCACTGTAGTTATTCTATCAATAGCAGTATAATTATCTTGTTTCCATTTATAAAATAGAAGCAATGCTCGTAGTCGTTAGGATTCGAACCTACGCGGGAAAATCCCATTGCATTTCTAGTCCATCGACTACCCAGTCGGGCAAAACTACTGCTTCCTGCGCATCATGTATAATCACGACACTGCTATAGTCGTTGCATGTTTAACCTAGCATGACATATAAATTTTAAAAAGAATTAAACTTTTTTTAATAAAATCACAGCAGGCAATCTATTAAAAGCTGTATTATAACCGTTTTTGCATTTTAGTAAATTAGATCAAGGCTCGCGTAGTCGGTAAGATTCGAACCTAACCGGGAAGATCCCAATGGATTTCTAGTCCATCGCCTTAACCACTCGGCCACGACTACTCCTATGTGCGTATCATATCAGTTTACGATTCTGCTATCGTCGATGCATTTTTAATGTGGCATAAACTTTAAATTCTAAAAAAGAAATTGAAAAATATTTTTTAATAAAATCTCTGCTGTTATTCAATCAATAACTGTATAATAATTGTGCTTTCACTTAGTAAAATAGAATCATTGCTCGTAGTCGGTAGGATACGAACCTACGCGGAAAAATCCAAATGGATTTCTAGTCCATCGCCTTTATCAATCTTCCACGACTACTCTTATATATTTATCATATCCGCTATCCATAATGTATCACTCTGCTATCGTCGCTGCATATTTAATCTGGCATAATGTGTAAAGTCTAAAAAGAAATTGAAAGAATTTTTTTTTAATGAAAACATTGCAGGTGTTTTATCAATATCTGTATAATAATAATATTTTGCGCACTTTTGTAAAAGAGTACCATTCCTCACATTCGGTAGGATTTGAATCTACACGGGAAGAACCCAATGGATTTCTAGCCCATCGCCATAACCACTCGGCCATGACTACTCCTATATGTATATCATATTAGTTTACGACTCTGCTATCGTCGTTGCATTTTTAATCTGGCATAACGTGTAAAGTCTAAAAAGAATTTAAAAATTTTTCACTGTAGTTATTCTATCAATAGCTGTATCATAATCTTGTTTCCATTTAGTAAAATAGAAGCAATGATCGTAGTCGGTAGAATTCGAACCTACGCGGGAAATTCCCAATGGATTTCTAGTCCATCGCCTTAACCACTCGGCCACGACTACTGCTTCCTGCCTATGACGCATAATCACGACAGTGCTATAGTCGTTGCAATTTTTAATATGGCATGACGTAATGATTTTAAAATGAATTTAAAAAAAATTTTTTTAATAAAATCCTGGCAGGTATTCTATCAATAGCTGTATAATAATAGTTTTTGCATTTTAGTAAAAAGTATAAATGCTCGTAGTCTGTAGGATTCGAAACTATACAGGAAGATTTCAATGGAATTCTAGCCCATCGCCTTATCCACTCGATCTTGACTACTCATATCTTCCTAACATATCATTTTACGACTGTTCTATCGTGTTGCATGTTTTATTTGTCGTAATGTATAAAGTTTAAAAAGAAATTAAGAAAAATATTTTATATAAAATCACAGCAGGTATTCGATTAACCCCTGCATAATAATCTTTTTTACACTTAACTAAAATAAAACCATTACTCTTAGTTCGTAGGATTGAAAGCTACTTGGGAAGATCCCATTGGATTTCTAGTCCATCGCCTAACCACTCGGGCAAAACTACTGCTTCCTGCGTATCATGTATAATCACGACACTGCTATAGTCGTTGCTTGTTTAACCTAGCATGACGTATAAATTTTAAACAGAGAGTTAAAAAATATTTTAACAAAATCACAGCAGGCAATCTATCAAAAGCTGTATTATAATCGTTTCTGCATTTTAGTAAAACAGATCAATGCTCGTAGTTAGTAGGATTCGAACCTACGCGGGAAGATCCAAATGGATTTCTAGTCCATCGCCTTAACCACTTGGCCGCGACTACTCCTATATGCATATCATACCAGTTTACAAGTGTGCTATCGTCGTTGCATTTATAATCTGTCATAATGTATAAAGTTTAAAAGAAATTAAAAAAAATTTTTGATAAAATCAGTACAGGTATTCGATTAACATATGTGTAATAATATTTTTTGCACTTAACTAAAGTAGAATCATGTCTCTTAGTTCGTAGAATTGAAACCCCTACGCGGGAACATTCCATTGGAGTTCTAGTTCATCGCGTCTAACCACTCGACTACGACTTCTGATACCTATCTACCATATCAAATTACGATTCTGCTATCGTCGGTGCATTTTTAATCTGGCATAATGTGTAAAGTCTAAAAAGAAATTGAAAGAAAAATATTTTTTATGAAATCATTGCAGGTATTTTATCAATATTTGTATAATAATCCTTTTTGCACTTTAGTAAAATAGAACCATTGCTCGTAGTCGGTAGGATGCGAACCTTTCAGGAAGAACCCAATGGATTTCTAGTACATCACCTTAATCACTCGGCAACGACTACTCGTAAATTTCTTTCATATCAGTTTATGACTCTGCTATGTTCGTTGCAATTTTAATCTGGCATAACGTGTAAAGTCTAAAAAGAAATTGAAATTTTTTTTTTAATAAATCAGGTTAGTTATTCTATCAATAGCTGTATACTAATCCATTTTCAATTTAGTAAAATAGATGCAACGCTCGTATTCGGTAGGATTCGAACCTACGCGGGAAGATCCCAAAGCATTTCTAGTCCACCGCCTTAACCACTCGGCCACGACAAGTGCTTCATGCGTATCATGTATAATCACGACACTGCTATATTCGTTGCATGTTTAACCTAGCATGACGTATACATATTAAAAAGAATTAAAGAAAATTTAAATAAAATCACAGCAGGTGTTTTATAAATAGCTGTATTATAATCGTATTTGCATTTTAGTAAAACAGATCAATGTTCGTAGTCTTTAGGATTCGAACATACGCGGGAAGAATCCAATGGATTTTTAGTCCGTCGCCTTAACCACAAGGCCACGAGTACTCATATCTTTGTAACATATCATTTTAAGACTGTTCTATCGTGTTGCATGTTTTATTTGTCGAAATGTATAAAGTTTAAAAAGAAATTAAGAAAAATATTTTATATAAATTCACAGCCGGCATTCGATTATCACCTGTACAATAAACTTTTTTACGCTTAACTAAAATAAAACCCCCTTTGCTCTTAGTTCGTAGGATTGAAACCTACTTGGGAATCTCCCATTGGATTTCTAGTCCATCGCCTACCCACTCGGCTACGACTACTCATACCTGGATACCATATCAGTTTACGATTCTGCTGTCGTCGATGCTTTTTTAATGTGGCATAACCTTTAAATTCTAAAAAGAAATTGAAAAATATTTTTTTAATAAAATCTCTGCTGTTATTCAATCAATAGCTGTATAATAATTATGTTTTCACTTATTAAATTAGAATAATTGTTCGTAGTCGGTTGGATTCGAACTTATGCGGAAAAATCCGAATGGATTTCTAGTCCATCGCTTTATCAATCTTCCACGACTACTCCTGTATATCTATAATATCAGTTTATGACTCTGCTATCGTCGCTGCATTTATAATCTGTCATAATGTATAAAGTTTTAAAAGAAATTAAGAATTTTTTTTTGTATAAAATCAGTGCAGGTATTCCATTAACATCTGTATAATAGTCTTTTTTGCACATAACTAAAATAGAACCCCGATGCTCTTAGTTCGTAGGATTGAAACCTACGCGGGAATATCCCATTGGAGTTCTAGTTCATCGCCTAAGCACTCGACAACGACTTCTCTTACCTGTCTAACATTTCAAATTACGATATTGCTATCGTCGATTCATTTTTAATCTGGCTTAACGTGTAAAGTCTAAAAAGAAATTGAAAGAAAAATATTTTTAATGAAATCATTGCAGGTATTTTATCAATATTTGTATAATAATCCTTTTTGCACTTTAGTAAAATAGAACCATTGCTCCTAATCAGTAGGAATCGAACCTATCAAGACTAACCCAATGCAATTCTTGTACACCACCTTAACCACTCGGCAACGCGACTACTCCTAAAAATCTTTCATATCAGTTTGAGACTCTGCTATCTTTGTTGTAATTTTAATTTGGTATAGCGTGTAAAGTCTAAAAGAAATTGAAATTTTTTTAATAAATCAGTGCAGTTATTCATAATAGCTGTATATTTATCCTTTTTCTATTTAGTAAAATAGATGCAACGCTCGTAGTCGGTAGGATTCGAACCTACGCTGGAAGAGCCCAATGGATTTCTAGTCCATCGCCTTAACCACTCGGCCACGACTACTGCTTGCTGCCTATCATGTATAATCACGACACTGCTATAGTCGTTGCATGTTTAATATGGCATGACGTATAAATTTAAAAAAGAATTTTAAATTTTTTTTTTAACATTATCACTGCAGGTTTTCTAACAATAGCTGTATAATAATAGTTTTTACATTTTTGTAAAAAAGATAAATGCTCGTAGTCGGTAGGATTCGAACCTACACTGGAATAATCCAATGAATTTCTAGTCCATCGTGTTAAAATCTCGGCCACGACTACTGCATCCTGCGTATCATGTATAAGCACGACATTTCTATAGTCGTTGCATGTTTAACCTAGTATGACGTATAAATTTTAAGAAGAATTAAAAAAATTTTTTAATAAAATCACAACAGGTATTTTATAAATAGCTGTATTACAATCGTATTTGCAATTTAGTAAAACAGATCAATGCTCGTAGTCGGTAGGATTCGAACATACGCGGGAAGAACTCAATGGATTTCTAGCCGTCGCTTTAACCACTCGTCCACCACTACTCCTATCAGTTTACGACTCTTCTATCGTGTTGCATGTTTTATTTGTCGTAAAGTATAAAGTTTAAAAAGTAATTAAGAAAAAAATTTTATATAAATTCACAGCCGGCATTCGATTAACACCTGTATAATAATCATTTTTATGCTTAACTAAAATAACCCCCCTTGCTCTTAGTTCGTAGGATTGAAACCTACTTGGGAATCTCCCATTGGATTTCTAGTCCATCGGCTACACACTCGGCTACGACTATCCATACCTGGATACCATATCAGTTTACGATTCTTCTGTTTTCGATGCATTTTTAATGTGGCATAACCTTTAAATTCTAAAAAGAAATTGAAAAATAATTTTTTAATAAAATCTCTGCTGTTATTCAATCAATAGCTGTATAATAATTGTGTATCCACTAATTAAAATAGAATTATTGTTCGTAGTCGGTAGGATTCGAACCTACGCGGAAAAATCCAAATGGATTTCTAGTCCATCGTCTTTATGAATCTTCCACGACTAATCCTATTAATATATATATCATATCAGTTTATGACTCTTCTATCGTCGCTGCATATTTAATCCGGCATAATACGTATAGTCTAAAAAAAAAAAAAATTGAAAGAAAATTTTTTTAATGAAAACATTGCAGGTGTTTTATCAATATCTGTATAATAATAATTTTTGCACTTTTATAAAATAGTACCATTGCTCGCAGCCGGTAGGATTCGACTCTATACGGGCAAACCCCAATGGATTTCAAGTCCATCGCCATAACCACTCGGCCACTACTCCTATATGTATATCATATTAGTTTACGACTGTGCTATCGTCGTTGAATTTTTAATCCGGCTTAACGTGTAAAGTCTAAAAAGAATTTAAAAATATTTCACTGTAGTTATTCTATCAAGAGCTGTATAATAATCTTGTTTCCATTTAGTAAAATAGAATCAATGCTCGTAGTCAGTAGGATTCGAACCTAAGCGGGTATATCCTAATGGATTTCTAGTCAATCGCCTTAACCACTCGGCCACGACTACTGCTTCCTGCCTATGATGCATAATCACGATAGTGCTATAGTCGTTGCATTTTTAATAGGGCAAGACGTATTCATTTTAAAAAAGAATTAAAAAAAACTTTTTTTATTAAAATCATGGCAGGTATTCTACCAATAGCTGTATAATAATAGTTTTTGCATTTTAGTAAAATAGAACAATGCTCGCAGTCGGTAGGATTCGAACCTACACGAGAAGAATTCAATGTAGTTCCAGCTGATAGCCTTAACCACTCGGTCTCGACTACTCATATCTTTCTAACATATCAGTTTGCGACTCTTCTATCGCGTTGCATGTTTTATCTGCCATAATGTATGATGTTTAAAAAGAAATTACGAAAAGTATTTTATATAAAATCACAGCAAGTATTCGATTAACTCCTGTATAATTATCTTTTTTACACTTAACTAAAATAAAACCATTACTTTTAGATCGTAGGATTGAAAGCTACTTGGGAAGATCCCATTGGATTTCTAATCCATCGCCTAACCACTCGGCCACGACTACTGCTTCCTGCGTATCATGTATAATCACGACACTGCTATAGTCGTTGCATGTTTAACCTAGCATGACGTATAAATTTTAAAAAGAATTAAAAAAAATTTTTTTAATAAAATCACAACAGGTATTTTATAAATAGCTGTATTATAATCGTATTTGCATTTTAGTAAAACAGATCAATGCTCGTAGTCGGTAGTATTCTAACATACGCGGGAAGAACCCAATGGATTTCTAGTCCGTCGCCTTAACCACTCGGCCACGACTACTCATATCTTTTTAACATATCAGTTTACGACTCTTCTATCGTGTTGCATGTTTTATTTGTCATAATGTATAAAGTTTAAAAAGAAATTAAGAAAAATATTTTATATAAAATCACAGCAGGTATTCGATTAACCCCTGCATAATAATCTTTTTTACGCTTAACTAAAATAACCCCCATTGCTCTTAGTTCGTAGGATTGAAACCTGCTTGGGAATCTCCCATTGGATTTTGTAGTCCATCGATTACTCACTCGGCTACAACTACTCATACCTGGATACCATATAAGTTTACGGTTCTGCTGTCGTTGATGCATTTTTAATGTGGCAAAACCTATCAATTCTAAGAAGAAATTGAAAAATATTTTTTTAATAAAATCTCTGCTGTTATTCAATCAATAGCTGTATAATAATTGTGTTTCCACTAAGTAAAATAGAATCATTGTTCGTAGTCGGTATTATTCGATTGATTGATTTAATATTAACGTCGCACTGTTCAGCTACACGAGGGCTTTTGGCGACGGACCACGTAATTTTGAACCATGGTCAAGTGACGTGGACGACACCTGAGCTGGCACCCCCTCTCCTAACTACCACACCACACCAACGGGAGGACGTTTCAGCTCTCGACAGATTTAACGTGCATCGCTGCCCTACACGGCGGGTTTTTAGTGGTACTGGGATCGAACTCGCGACCAGTCAAGCCACGATCCGATACCTATACCACTCGGCTACCGCGGCCCTCGGTATTATTCGAAACCTACGCGGGAAGATCCCAATAGATTTCTAGTCCATCGCCTTAACCACTCTGACACGACTACCGCTTCCTGCCTATCATGTACAATCACGAAAGTGCTATAGTCGTTGCATGTTTAATATGGCATGACGATTAAAAAGAATAAAAAAAAATTTTTTTAATAAAATCACAGCAGGCATTCTATCAATAGCTGTATAATATTTGTTTTTCCATTTAAAAAATAGAATCATTGTTCGTAGTCGGTAGGATTCGAACCTACGTGGAAAAATCCAAATGGGTTTCTAGTCCATCGCCTTTATCAATCTTCCACGACTACTCCTATATATCTATCATATCAGTTTTTCGCTCTGCTATCGTCGTTGCATATTTTATCTGGCATAACGTGTAAAGTCTAAAAAGAAATTCAAATTTTTTTTAAATAAAATCACTGTAGTTATTGTATCAATAGCTGTATAATAATCTTGTTTCCATTTAGTAAAATAGAAGCAATTTTCGTAGTCGGTAGCATTCGAACCTACGCGGGAAGATCCCAATGGATTTCTAGTCCATCGCCTTAACCACTCGGCCACGACTACCGCTTCCTGCTATCATGTATAATCACGATTGTGCTTAATATGGCATGACGTATAGATTTTAAAAAGAATTTAAAAAAACTTTTTAATAAAATCATGGCAGGTATTCTATCAATAGCTGTATAATAATAGTTTTGCATTTTAGTAAAACAGATCAATGCTCGTAGTCGGCAGGATTCGAACCTACACGGGAAGAATTCAATGGATTTCTAGTACATCGCCTTAACCACTCGGCCTCGACTACTCATATCTTTCTAACATATCAGTTTACGACTCTTCTATCGTGTTGCATGTTTTATGTGTCAATGTATGAAGTTTAAAAAGAAATTAAGAAAAATATTTTATATAAAATCACAGCAGGTATACGATTAACATCTGCATAATAATCTTTTTAACGCTTAACTAAAATAATAACTATTTCTATTAGTTCGTAGGATTAAAACCTACTTGGCAATCTCCCATTGGTATTCTAGTCCATCGCCTACCCACTCGAACACGACTACTGCTGTATGTATATCATATTAGTTTACGACTCTAATATCGTCGTTGCATTCTTAATCTGGCATAACGTGTAAAGTCTAAAAAGAAATTAAAAATATTGCTTAATGAAATCACTGTAGTTATTCTATCAATAGCTGTATAATAATCTTGTTTCCATTTAGTAAAATTGAGAAGCAATGCTCGTAGTCGGTAGGATTCGAACCTACGGGAAGATCCCGATGGATTTCTAGCCCATCGTCTTAACCACTCGGCCACGACTACTGCTTCATGCCTAACATGTATAATCACGACACTGCTATAAGCGTTGCACTTTTAATTTGGCATGACGTATAAATTTAAAAAAGAATTAAAAAAATTTTTTAATAAAATCACAGCAGATTATCTATCAAGAGCTGTATTATAATCATTTTTGCATTTTAGTAAAAACAGATCAATGCTCGTAGTCGGTAGGATTCGAACATATGCGGGAAGAACCCAATGGGTTCCTAGTCCGTCGCCTTATTCACTCGGCCATGGCTACTCATATCTTTCTAACAAATCAGTTTACGACTCTTCTATCGTGTTGGATGTTTTATCTGTCATAATGTATAATCTTTAAAGAGAAATTAAAAAATATTTTATATAAATTCAATGCCAACATTCGATTAACTCCTGTATAATAATATTTTTTACATTTAACTAAAATAAAACCATTAGTCTTAGTTCGTAGGATTGAAAGCTACTTGGGAAGATCCCATTGGATTTCTAGTCCATTGCCTAACCACTCGGCTACGAATACTCATATCTGGATACCATATCAGCTTACGATTCTGATATCTTCGATGCATTTTTAATGTGGCATAACCTTTCAATTCTAAAAAGAAACTGAAAAATATTTTTTCAATAAAATCTCTGCTGTTATTCAATCAATAGCTGTATAATAATCTTGTTTCCATTTAGTAAAATAGAGTAATTGTTCATAGTCGGTAGGATTCAAACTTACGCGGAAAAATCCAAATGGATTTCTAGTTCATCGCCTATATCAATCTTCCACGAATACTCCTATATATCTTTCATATCAGTTTATGACTCTGCTATAATCGATGCATTTTTAATCTGGCATAATGTGTAAAGTCTAAAAAAAAAAAATCGAAAGAAAAATCTTTTACTGAAATCATTGCAAGTATTTTATCAATATCTGTATATTAATCGTTTTTGCATTTTTAGTAAAATAGAACCAATGCTCGTAGTCATTAGGATTCGAACCTAACAAGTAGAACCTAATGGATTTCTAGTCCATCACCTTTACCACTCGGCAACGACTACTCCTATATTTTTCCCATATCAGTTTATGATTCTGCTGTCTTCGTTGCTTTTTTAATCTGTCATAACGTGTAAAGTCCAAAAAGAAATTGAAATTTTTTTAATAAAACCACTACAGTTATTCTATCAATAGCTGTATAATAATCCTGTTTCCATTTAGTAAAATAGAAGCAATACTTGTAGTCGGTAGGATTCGTACCTACGCGGAAAGATCCCAACAAATTTCTAGTCCATAGCCTTAACAACTCGGCCATGACTACTGCTTCCTATCTACCATGTATAATCACGACACTGCTATAGTCGTTGCATGTTTAATCTGACATGACGTATATATTTTTAAAAAAAAAAAAAAAAAAAAAAATTAAATAAAATCTCAGCAGGTATTCTATCAATAGCTGTATAATAATAGTTTTTGCATTTTAGTAAAATAGAATCAATGCTGGTAGTTGGTAGGATTCTAACATACGCGGGAAGAACCCAATGGATTTCTAGTCTATCGCCTTAACCATTCGGTTAAGACTACTCGTATCTTTCTAACATATCAGTTTACGACTCTTCTATCGTGTTACATGTTTTATCTGTCATAATGTATAAAATTTAAAAAGAAATTAAGAAAAAAAAATTATATAAATTCACAGCAGGTATTCGATTATCACCTGCATAATAATCTTTTTTGCACTTAACTTAAATAGAACCATTGCTCTTAGTTCATAGAATTGAAACCTACGGCGGAATATCCCAATGGATTTCCAGTCCATCGCCTTAACCACTGGGACACAACTACTGCTTTTTGCGTATCATGTATAATCACGACACCGCTATAGTCGTTGCATTTTTAATCTTGCATAACGTGTAAAGTCTAAAAAGAGATTGAAAATTTTTTTTAATAATATCACTGCAGTTATTCTATCAATAGCTGTATAATAATCGTTTTTGCATTTTAGTAAAATAGAATCAATGTTCGTAGTCGGTAGGAGTCGATTCTACGCGGGAAAATCCCAATGGATTTCTAGTACATCGCCTTAACACCTCGGCCACGACTACTCCTATACGTATATCATATCAGTTTACGACTTTGCTATCGTCGTTGCATTTTTAATCTGGCATAATGTGTAATGTCTAAAAAGAAATTGAAAGAAAAAATGTTTTAATGAAACCATTGCTTGTATTTTATCAATATCTATATAATAATCCTTTTGGCACTTTAGTAAAATTGAACCATTGCTCGTAGTTGGTAGGATTTGAACGTCCGCGGGAAGAACCCAATGTATTTCTAGTATATCGCATTTTTCACTCTGCGACGACTACTCTTATATGTCTATCATATCAGTTTACGACTCTGCTATAGTCAACTTGAGATTGACGCTCACCAGTATTTAATCTTTTAATCACTTGCATTTTAATTTTCAGAGAAATGCTTTTTTATGCTTTATTTTCGTGTTTTTTTTTATTAACCATGATAAAAACTAAAAATCAAGAATATTTGTCACTTTAGAAATCGTTATATTATATAAATTTATACTCAGAATAACGTCAACAAATGTTTCAAAGGATAAAAATAAGTTTGTATAATACCGCCGGAAAGAAGAAACACTGATAAACTGCTTCGGATATGGGGAAGCCTAACGCTGCTTGCTATATTTCGTGGAATCTCACAATTCAAATAAAAGAGCGGTTAAGCCGAACAGCGCTAAAAGAAACAGCTTTGAGCGGGGTCTTGCTGTAGATAGTATATTTCATGCCTTATCAAATACTCGTTCAAACATCTATTTGAAACATATAAACCTGCACGACTCACAATCTCAAAAACTTAGGCACAAACCATTTCGGCTGATTGCCGCATCTCGACTTAATGAGTTGAATGATTGTTTATGGTATCAAGCCTATGCCTAAACATGGACTAGGCCCCTATAGATTCTTACCACTTTTGCCAGTTGACATGCAGAATGAAATTCTCTGTTTTTCGGAGAATATGTACTGGAATAATATTTGGCTACATTAGAATTATCCGGATCACTATCTTATTAAGACAAAGTCGAAAACGAGTCAACCCCACCGAGGGCTCGGCCCTGGGCTTGGGAGCAATTGGCCCATGCTTTAAGACGACCCTGAATGGCGCCAGAGCGTACGGCGAGACTTGTCAGGAATTATCTTGAATAGCCTTCAACCAGCCCTTCGTGGAATTTCTACACAAGGTTTTGGTGGTAGCTCATAATAAATTTGGCTGTTAAATAAGAAATCTCACTATTATTCTTCTATGGCAGAGGTACTTAAATTGTGTTCCGTGGAACTTTGGGGATCCACGAAACAAACATAAGGCTTCCGTGAGTTAAAAAATGGAAAGGAAAAGTATAAATTGTGTATGCAAATTATATATATATATAGATTCATGTTCTCTATTAAGTTTGTACAAACACGAAATATCTAAATCATTGCTTCCCAGCAAAGTCGCACGTACCACGGGAAAAACATAAAAAATATGTGAGTCTGGAAAACCTCTTTTTTTATGTATTTTTTGCAACTTTTAATTCTTTGCATATGCAAGTTGGAAGCCCTTAGAGGGCTACGGCTGAAATTAAACCCAACAAAAGTGATAAAAAGATCATTTGTGTTTCATGATATTCTTTAGGGGGAACGGGATAGAATAATTCAGGAAAAGAGAGGTTTTGTGGTGAATGTTTTTCCAGGACCAGAAGCGAATGGTGTTGCTGCCTGAGGAAGTGGAGGAGAAGGGTTTCCTAGAATCCCGTTCCCCTACGTTCCGTATAGACTCGTCTAGAAAGGGCATGCGGAGGACCGGTTTTGAGGGTCCCGACTGGAGGCAGAAGGCATAAACGTGCACTGGATGTAAGATTGTTTTTAGAATGTTCTGTAAATAAATTGTACATATTTATATCTCTAGCCTGGCTGTGAGTTTTTGTACTCAATACGTCACAGTCTATTTAATGGAGGCACTGACAGAGATAACTAATTACTCAAATGTAATTTTTGGCTAGGGATATAATGGATGAATTCAGATTGAGCAGAACGGAAGAAAGTATTTAGACCATCCTGGTCTTCGAAGAAATGCCACCCCGGCTATCAAAAATTATTTAGACCATCCTGGTCTTTGAAGAAACGCCACCCGGTAATCAAGAAGTGTTTAGATCATCCTGGTCTTAGGAGCAACGCCATTCCATCAACAAAAAATTCCTGCAAGAGGAAAGAAGATTTGTGACCATCCTGGTCTTAAAAGAAACGCCGCCCCGTCTACAAAGAATTCCTGAAATAGAAAAGAAGAATATATAAGATCAATCTGGTCTTGGAAGCGCCGCCCGGAAACTATAAATCTTAACTACGTAGTGCGGATCAACGAAAATATATTTCACAGGTACGATTTCCTTTTCTATCTGGCCAAATTATTTAAATCACATCTTGCGCATCTTTTAAAATTTGTTTGTGTTTGAAGCTTTAAATTTAGGTGACTAAGCTGCATTACATATCCTATGTATTGAGATTAGATTGTTCTTATGCTGTTGTAATTGATTCTATATCTATAAGCATTTCACGAGAAATAATTATTTTTTAAAAAATTAATATTAAATATTTATTTTAAGCTATTTTGTAAGAAGAATAGTAGGGTTTTTTTTTAAAAAAAAACTTGGCTTTTGATACTTTGCAATTTATTGTTTTTTATGAAAATTAGTTTTTTTTCATTGCAAAAATCCTCGTATAACATTTGATAAAAGTATTTTTATATCTATAAATAGTGTGTATATGTGTGTTACAAATATTATTAGGTTATCAAATACGTATTGGAGTTTTGCGATTAATAATTAAGTATATGCATACATTTGCTTAAAATTATTTTTTAATGATTACCAATTTTGAATTTTACTATCTATTATTATTTTCTTAAGAAAAAGTGTATAAGTAATACTACATTCATTTTAACTGTGAGGTTTGAAATATTTTTATTGTAAAAACTTTTTGGCTAAAAATGGCTTACTTAGGAAAAGGTCGAATAGCAGAACTAAGATATATTACAAAACAATTAGGTGAAAAAGTAACTGATGATTAAAAATTATAGACCTTAAAAATCTTATTGTAAATAGCCCAAATTACGAAGAAGAATTCGTTAAATATGATAATTAAGAAAAGGTTAAAAGCTAGCACGTCGCGTGTCAGCAAATATTTTGACTTAAATAAAAGATTTATTTTAAGCACTAATGAATTAAAAACACTTCTTAAATTAAAGAAACGCAACTCTAAAACTATAGATAAAGTAAGAGGTAAATCCGAAAGCGTGTCACTTAATCCCTGTATTATTAAAAGGGAGGAAAATGAGTTTGAGATGCCTATCCTTAGAGAAACAGGAGCCTCATTAGATATAGGTTTTGAAAAATGTGCTGCACCAGAAATGTTTAAAGGTGAGCAAGGATTGGTGAAACATATTCATGATGATACTATGACTTGTCTGCAACGCGCAGAAAGAAAAATTGAGTGTGAACCAGTACAAGTAGTCTCAAAGCCAATTGTTAGTCCGGGACATTTGAATGGGGAAAAATATTTTTTGGAGGATCAAACAATTGAACTCCTGGAACCGGATTTAGAAGAGAATGGTCTACCAAGACCGGAAATAGGGAATGATACTCAGACTCGCAGACAACGAAAGAAAGAAATAGAAAAGAGCACATGCCTAGAAAATGAGAGTGATCAATTTAGATTGAGAGAATGTGTAGTTGAAAATGGGGAGGTGCCTTCGTTTACAGGGGAGTGCACGGACAATGGGAATTTGGTTAAATCTAGGGATTGGGAGGTTATGGAAGCACAGATGAGGAGTGAAGAATCAGTCGCTTTGATTCGGGGGACAGAGAATGGCGCGAGTGATGAGGCAAGTGATCAGGAAGAAGCATCCATACAATTAGTGCCTGTAAGACATGAGTTATACATTCATTCAATAGAACACATACCCTTCCTATTGCACCTACTAGAGGCAAACATATTTTACCTGACATGTCTATGTCGCCGAGGTGCCACCAGACAGTGAGGTTAAAAAGGTTAAAAACAAAACCAAAGAAAGGCGACATTAAATGGACTTCTGAATGTCCAGAGTTCTTTAAGCAATTCGAGGAAAATCTGTCGACAAATTCCGTTTTATACGCCCCTGATTTCACGAAACGATTAATTTTTCAACCCGAAACAATTTTATTTATTTTTTTGTATGCAGATCATAAACTTTAACTTAATTTCGGTTTCTATAAAAAAATGTATGATAATCAATCGCCTGAAAAAAAAATCTAGTTCCATTAATATGTGTCATAAGGTTTGACCAGTGATACATATGTGTTATGTATGCATTTTTTATGCTAAAATTTTATAATTAAGTGAGTGAGATTGATATATTAAAAATTTGTAACACATTTATGGGAGGATTATACTTACTTTCTATACTTATTTCTATACTGTATCCATATATATTAATACACTATGTTTTTATAAAGACGTCATATCGGATTAATGCAATAATTTCATTTATTTTCTCTTCTTGTATTGTATACAAAGCTCATGTAATTTTCCACACATCCAAGTGTGCAAAATAAAGTGTAATATACTATTAAGGCTGTGAATCAGGTTGTAATTGATAATGATATTCATTGTCAAGGATTAATTAGTCAGAAGTGAAATCGTAAATGGGGCTCTTATTGAAGTAATATGTGCAACTTAGATGCTGCTAAATTTGTATTTGTTTCTGATCCGGATTTCTCTTTTAAAATAAAAGCTTATCAATGTATGTGTGTGAATGGGCTGAGAAAGTTTTGTGAGGAAAAAAAATCTTCACTTTTTAATGTGTTCAAACTGTTTTCTCTGATTGAAAGCTAGGATTTTTATTCAGAATAAAAAACCTTTTAATGAGCAATATTGTGCTTATTAGTTATACTATTTTCTTAAATAATCAAAATGATATTCGTATCTTTTTAAACATGCATACTATAGGCATGACCAATTTTTGAATATAGGCACTTTTTCATGAATTGTAATTTATTATGATAATAATACTGAAT